AGGAACTGCTGGAGTTCCATGATTATCACTTAGCTATTTCTCCAAAGCTGTCTCTGCCATCTCTTGGGATGTAACTGCAGGCTAGAGAGTTGGGCGGAGAGGAACCTGATGAAGTTTAACAAGGGCAAGTGTAGGGTCCTGCACCTCGGGAGGAATAACCCCATGCACCAGTACAGGCTGGGGACTGACCTGCTGGAGAGCAGCCTGGCAGAGAAGGACCTGGGAGCCCTGGGGGACAACGAGTTGCCCATGAGCCAGCAATGTGCCCTCGTGGCCAAGGCGGCCAATGGTACCTTGGGGTGCATGAGGAAGAGTGTGGCCAGCAGGTCAAGGGAGGTTCTCCTCCCCTCTACTCTGCCCTGGTGAGGCCACGTCTGGAGTGCCGGGTCCAGTTCTGGGCTCGCCAGTTCAAGACAGACCAGGAACTACTGGAGAGAGTCCAGCGGAGGGCAACGAAGGTGATGAGGGGACTGGAGCATCTCCCTGATGAGGAAGGGCTGAGGGAGCTGGGTCTGGTCAGCCTGGAGAAGAGCAGACTGAGGGGGGATCTCACCAATGCTTATCAATACCTTAAGGGTAGGTGTGAGAAGGACGGGACCAGACTCTTTTCCGGGGTGCCCAGTGACAGGTTAAGGGGCAACGGGCACAGACTGAAATTTGGGAAGTTCTGTCTGAAGATGAGGAAGACCTTCTGTACTTTGGGGGTGGCAGAGCCCTGGCACAGGCTGCCCAGAGAGGCTGTGGGGTCTCCTTCTCGGGAGATGTTCAAAACCCACCTAGACACGATCCTGTGCAACCGCTGTAGGTGACCCTGCTTTGGCAGGGGGCTGGATAGGATGATCTCCAGAGGGACCTTCCAACCCCCACCAGTCTGTGCTTCCTATCCCACATCAGTTCTCTATACACACCCGAATATAACGAAGAAAGTTGATTTTGCCTAAGAAGCTAGACCTGGGAACAGTGCAGATGCAGAATTAGGATCTAGGACTCTCAAGGAAATATAGCTCGTGTCTTTGCTCTCCTCCCACGTTTCTACTCATTTTCTGTGGTCTTTACGCTTTCTGCCTTGCATGTCAGTTCCTATGCTCTCCTCCCCGCACACACAAAGTAAAGGGAGGAGAGCTCTGATGGGCGGACACACGCCTCATCCTGCAATTCAGGCAGTGGGCTGCGTGACTGTAGCACAAAGGATTGATGCTGTAATCATGTGCATTCGCTGAGGGTCCTGCCCCAGATGCTGTATTACTACCGCCTTTGAGGGCAAAAGGTTCTCTGTGGTGTGTTGGAAGGCTGGAGGTGCGGAATTCCTGGCAGTAGTGTTACAGGGGTGGATGCTCATGTCTTCTGTTCTCTTCCAGTCACCTGATGCAGCTGATGACCTCAGATACACAGATGACAGAAATAACTCAGGTAAGCTCATGGCCAATGGGGTTGTCTTTGTACTACTTGTTTCCCACCACGGTTCTAGGGGGTTCCCCTTTGCCTGCTTGTGGAATCAACCCTGAGGTCCTCAACAACCTCTTGCTGCTTGAAGCAATGTCCTGTTTTGTCCATTCTAGAATGAAACCTCCAAACTCGCTACCTTCAGTTTTGGGTAGGATATTTGCATTGTGCTTTAGTGATGGCTAATTTGCTGTGAATGGTGTGTAACAAGCATGCCTAGTTTTCTTCTGGTTTTGTGTTCTGGAGTAAAGAGAGGTAGTAGAATGTGGGTGGGAAGTTTTGGCCTCTTGCCACCTGCTCTAAGTGGACAACATCCATCGTTCAGGGTCTGCCTTATGCCCCTTTTGCTAGAGCAAAGAATCTTGCTGCCTGCAGCAGGCAGCTGCAGATAAATTCATCCTGGTTTAAAACTTGAGTGCATTTGGGTGCTTGAGTACCCAGGTGACTCTACAAGTCTACACTTGTGGATCTGTGTGCATGGTGACCTGAATAAACAGTAATTAAAGCTTTGACTGCTCTGTCTTTTCAGGCTGTCCTAGCTGTGATATGTCTTTCTGTCCCCAACTATAATAGGCAGGCTCAGACTATCTCCCACTTCATTCTAGGTGGCTGTCGTAGTAGTGTAGAGCTCAGCAGGGCCTGCCTGCTCCTTAGTAGTACTTCTTTTTCCTTCAACAGTTGATGCTGGTTTTCTTCCACCTGTTTTGCAGCTATTTTTTCCGCCTTTATTTTACACAAGGAACAGTTTCTCTCTCAATTTTATCTTGGCAAATCTCTCTGAGTAAAGGTTGCACTCCAGACAGCTGATCCACGTACGGGCCTTTTCCAGAAAGAGGTTCTGCTGCAGAGATACTCAAGAAAAACTTACTTTCCTGAGAACAAAATCTGTTCTTCATCCCTTGGAGTAAACCTCTCAGCCCTGGGTTATTCTCTTGAGGTGGTCCCTTCAGTCAGTGTACATAACTCGGAGGTCACTGAAGGGTCGGGAAATACTCAGCAGTTGCTTAGGGGCTTCAGACCTCACTGTTGCCTGTCATGGGTGCGTTGGGCCGTCCGATAGAATACAAGCCATAAAGAAAAGTGTGTCATGCTCTATTGAGTTTTTTAACGCAGTCCTTAGTCCTCAAGTAGTCCTTAGGTCACCGCTGTATGAGACTGTGATCTATGTGAGGCACCAAAAAAATGCAGATTTTCCAAAATCAGTTTGGAAGGATAGCAGATGAAGACGCAACTAAGCTCTCCTTGCAAGTTGCGGGGTTTTTTTAAGATTCCACCCCCGCTGCCCCATCTCATTCTTCCAGGCAGTGTAGCATTCCAGCCAACTTACAGATTTTTATTTTTACATAGATTTTGGCAAGTTATAACATCCGTATGAGGAATTTTTAAAATCCTCCTTTTCTGCATCAGTTCCAGCCTCCTGGTAGGCTGGCTTTTGACTCTCTTCAAATATCCTTCTCAGAACACAGAGAGAAGATAGTTGGAATAAAATACCCCTCTGGGAAAATACTTCAGAATTTGAGTGACTTTTACTTGCATTTTTCTCTAACATGAAAGGAAACCGTTACCAAAGATCAAAGGAGTATATGCTGAACTAGTTCGAAACAACACTATGTGTGTGCATTTTCTTGCTGCCCTCCCAGCTTCATCTGCAGCTCCCAGCATTTCAGGCACCAATTCGACATACCCTATCAGGCCTTTCACTTCTTTGTGTATTTAATACAGCTTTAAAGAGATCTAATTGCTACCTTTAGTGACGCCTTTTCTCTGTACACCTTTACACACTCTGGGATTTTAATCAGAATTATCCTTGATCATGGAATTATGGCTTTTTGATCATACAGTAAACTCACAAGCAATTCCTAAACTTCACGCTAGAAAAGTATTATATCAGAAGCTCCAAGGATACCTTACTGCGGACTGCAGGAAAGGATTAGCATCTCTCTCTCCTGAACGTCTTTCAAAGCACACCGTTTTCTTCTTGTCCATTGCAGATGGGCTCTAAGAAGTAGTTCTTTCCGTTCTCAGGTCTGACTTCATGGTCTTCATCTTTTAAATGTGTTTAGAAACATTTATTCCAAGGTTTTCAAGAGGCCATGAAGTTACTGAACTCTACATTATAGCATTTTTAGGGTCGAACCATGCTATGTGTTTGCTTTATGACGTAACTTTTCCAGATCACTTAGAGCCAGAGTCTTTTGCTTTCCAATCTTATAACCATCAGGTTTCAGAAATACACACTTGATAACTTTGTGTGGCACTTATTACTGCGTACCTGCTTATAGTATGTAAGAAACTACTTTTGTCCTCGTGGACTTTGTCCACTTGGGATGTCTAACGTCTACAATAATTTATACAGGAAAGGTATCTTTTTATCCTACGCTGGACTAATCGCTACTGTACTGGTAGTTTTGTTTAGGACTCAGCTCAGCAGCTCACATACACATAGGAATGAACGACAATCTCTCTACCTTCTTGTATTGTTAATTCATCCCCATCCAGCCTTTTTAGCCACATCTGTACTCCAAAGACCTGCATCCACGCTTTAGTTCTCCAGACTTCTATTTTACGGATTCTTTCCCACCAAAATGCCAAAAATTCACAAAACTAGAATCCCTAGATTTGTACTAGTTGTGATGCCTGGGCTCTTTTCCAGTATTTTCTGATTTCTTTCATAGAATAGGAAGCATGTAAGGGAGGCTTGTACTGGTTCAGAATATACCAGTATCTTGTTGGGCTGGAAGTGTGTTCTTGGGGAAAGACTATAAGAAAATGAGCTTGCAGAGATGCATATTCTTGATTTTCTGTAATCACCTATTAAGTAGGGATGGCTTGAGCCAGGTAGCGTATCTAGATCATCAATGGAATGATCCTCTGTAAAATTGTCCACATTTTGTTTTAATCTCTCATGACACTTTGTGGCATCGAGTTCCATAATTAGGCATTTTGTTTACTTTAATTCTGTTTCTGATAATTTCCTTGGGTCTTCTGGGTTGCAGTGAATAACTACGTCTTATTCACTTTTTCTGTACCATTCCTGGAGGATGTATCATATCAGTTATCTTTCTTCCAGGCTGAAGAATCCTAGTTATTCTTTGTGGGAATTGTTCCCACACCCCTCTGGACCTTTTTTATCTCATCTGCACGATTTTAAGGTAGAGAAGGAGAACAGGGCTGCATGCAGTATTGCAAATGTACATATACGATGAGTTTATGCACTGGCAGAAGGCGTTCTGTATGTTCTCCCATTTTTTCCAATATGTAATCCTCAAAAGTGAAATGGTATCACTGAGAAGCGTGCCAGTGTTTTCAGAAAGCCTACAGAATCATGATCTCATTTTAAGGATGTTGCATTTTATATGCAATCAGGATTATATTACTTTTCCTGAGCTTAAGCATCAGCCAATAGCATAAAAATAAACTTACTAAGTCAGCGTGAGGTTCTGGCTACTCCAAGATTGTGTCTGATGCGAGCCACTGGGAATACCAAGAAAAGAGCATAGAAGAAGAAAAGCGTAAAGTGGTGCCTTCCAGAATACTACTCCAGGCTACAACAATCTGTGTTTTAGTACTTTGTAAGCCAGAGGCCTTTAATTTTAGAGTTATTACTTTCTTGAATCTGTTCACATTTGCAGTAAATTTCACCTTCCACATCATTGCCCAGTCAACTCTGTAAAATCCTAATACCCTTTTTTGTGGTTGAATTTCATTTGAGTACTCTGATAGACAGCTTGGTACCGTCAGCAGTCTTTCTCGATACAGCCTTCATCACTTCCTTCTATTCCTTCTCGTAAGTCACTAAAGACTGCCCCTAATACAGACAGCTGCTCTCTGTTGTGGTAGCAGGTAATACCCTCCTGCACTTTTTCTGTTTTAACGACTTACTTCCCCACTCAAGGATGTGCCTTCTTATCCCCTGGCAGCTTCTTTTCGTTAAGAGCTTTGGCTGAGGAACAATCAAAAGTGTGGGTTGGTTTGTGGTTTGTTTTTTTTTAAAGTTCAGTATGCTGTGTTGAGATCACTTAACTGGCATGTTTGATGGCTCCTTTGGCAAATTCTAGTCTAAGAGGGTCTAAAAGGAATTACTTCCCTCTAAGCCACAGTGATTTCCTCCCCCACCCCCATCTGGATTTTTATCTGCATGTGCCCCTGCCTTTCTTTTATACCTGTTTGCCTTGTTTCGAAGTCAGTCATCTGCTTACCGATCCCAGTATCCTCTCAAGACGTCAGATTTGTCACCTATATTCATTTGGTTCTGAGGACTTTTCAAACAACAGGTTAATGCTACAGTTAATAGCTCAGGAAGGGTTCTGAATTACAGCAACTGCTCATACTTGGGCACTGTACCAAGGGGGATATCGCATCTTGGAGTCGGGCTCTAGAGCGGAGGGCGGGCCACTGGGAAGAGCTCAGCAGGATGTGCACCTTTGATCTAATATACCTTCACGGATTTCTGTATTTGAGGTGCTCTGCTACGTTCAAAGACTTTAGAGAGGCTTCCCAGGAGCCAGTTTGCACTTGATGAGAAAAAAATCTGTGGGTGTGTGGAACTTTTTCCTCTTTACCCAAGGATCTCACAGTAGTTGCTCAAGCCAAATTATTGCGAAGGGCAGATGTTCAGGTGTATGTGGAAGCACATCGGGTAAGCTCTACCAGCTCCTCAGGAGGGTAGTAACAGCGGTGTACTTTAGATGCAGAACACATCCTAAAAGGCCTGAGACCAAGTTAACTGGGAGTCTGCCCTGACGGAGTATCTTTCCTGGTGAGTTCCTTTGGTGAGGGACCCAAGTCACAGTCTAAATTTACAGAAAGGACTTGGTCGTCTAACTTCACCATTAAGCAAGACCAAAATTAAGCGGGTCTAGAGAAGGGCCGCAGAGATGATCCGAGGGCCGGAGCACCTCTGCTGTGAGGACAGGCTGAGAGAGTTGGGGTTGTTCAGCCTGGAGAAGAGAAGGCTCCGGGCAGACCTTAGGGCAGCCTTCCAGTACCTACAGGGGGCTGATAGGAAAGATGGGGAGGGACTTTTGACAAGGGCAGGGAGTGATAGGACAAGGGGCAATGGCTTTAAATTGGAAGAGGGAAGATTTAGGTGAGATATTAGGAAGAAATTCTTCACCGTGAGGGTGGTGAGGCAGCGGCACAGATTGCACAGAGAAGCTGTGGCTGCCCCATCCCTGGAAGTGTTCAAGGCCAGGTTGGATGGGGCTGGGAGCAACCTGGTCTGGTGGAAGGTGTCCCTGCCCAGGGCAGGGGGGTTGGATCCAGATGATCTTTAAGGTCCCTTCCAACCCGAACCATTCTATGATTCTATGAAAACGCTGTCTCATTAGCTAGGGCATACCATACTGGCGGTCACACTGCTCTTTAGTGCATGCTGCTCTATTGAAACTAGTGAAATGCTTGGAGCACTAGCATACGCTAGTCTGTCCTTTCGGTGTACTTGATTCTTCTTAAGGCTTGGCACTTCCAGTAATTTTCAGTGAATCGTGAGTGTTAGGGGCAGGTGTCTTCTCGCGCATGTGACTTCCTTCCCAGAATCCACAGTAGTCAGTACGTGATCACCTAAAAGTTCTGGGCACGGGATTACTGTGAATCACTAAGACTTCAGTGCTGTCTCAAATTCAGCACCTGGGTATTCCCTTATGTCTACATTAACTGTATCAGCTATATATACTTAACCTAGCACTTTCTCTTAAAACCGTAACTCCTCTTGTCTACACAGTTCCCCAGGAGCAGGATGGGCAGCCAGAGGAAGAGGAAATGTTAGTAACACGGGATTCATCAACACCTACTTCATCAGCACTTGAAGAAATGGCCCTGTACAGCAGCAAACGCAAACTGCGACACAGCCGGCGCAGTCTGGAGGCTGCTGTCCCTACGTAGAAGATCTGATGCACCTGGGCGATGGAGTAGCCCCGCACAGGGCTTTTCGGCTTCCTGTGCTCCAGGGACAGCACCGGACTGTCCCCACTGCTGCCTCCTGGACTCTAGATGGGAACTGAGCGCCCCAGGGAGCATTATGGTCGACTAACTTCCTTCAAGGCTGTGAACCGCCCTCGTTTCTCACCCAGTAACACACTGGGGCACGTCCTAAACAAAATGGGACAACACTAGACTTATTGATGGCAGATTGAGAGGAGGTGTGGGTAGGACAGTGGGCAGCTGCAGCTTGTTAGCCTGTAAATATTGTGTGTGGGGGAAGGGTAGGACAGGGAGAACATAGGAGTGTGAGAGTGTGTTGGGCTCCAGCTGTTACTTCCTCAACTTGGATTTTTTAGTGGTTAATATGGGAGCTTCTACTCTGGTATGAATTAGAAGGAAGGTCCAGCCTGCCTTTGCTCCTATTTAATTTCCAGTCTTTTGCCGAAAAGCATCTCCTTCCACCTCCCACACCGTGTCACCTCACTTTCTTTTGGGAGTACGTGGAAATGGGTAGCTTGGAGGCAAAAAAAAAAAAAAAAAGAAAAAAGAAAAAAGAAAAAGAAAAAAGGAATTTCAGTGAAGTGCCTCCCTCTGACACTGACACCTATGTGCTCAAGCAAAGACAACTGAATAAGCAGGAGCCTGTGCCAGCTCTGTGCCACTTGCCTCTGTGAGCGCAGCGATCTATCCCGAGTGTGACACCGCTCCTGCCAGCCTTTTGTGCTGTTCTGGGAGACAGGTGCCTACCTAGATGTGCACGTAATCGTGTGTGTCTGAGGCAGGCAGCGTGAACCACTCCACAAGCACACTGTACCGAGTGTCAGAGGAGGCCAGGTATCTGTCTTCTGTCGGCACCATGCCTGACTGGGTGAAGTGGGGAAGAAATAAAAAAAGAGCTGAACAGCTGTAGCAAGAGTATAGCGGTGTGCATGCGTGACAGCACTAGAGAGCAGAGTAGTTGGGGTTAGGGTACGGTGGCAGAGATAGGAGGTGTAAACAGCAGATAAGATAGTGGGTTAGGATTCAGGAAATGGGGAAGGGTAGGAAGTGGTGTTGCTGGGGTCAGGTTAGGAGTAATGGGGTCTTACAGGTAGGAGGATACTAGTGGGTGAGTCCACTATGTTGCCTGCTAGCTGTGAAATGCAATGTGACGTTACGGGGGTGCCCAGTGCCGGGCTCTCGAGGGGCACCTGCCAGGCAGGGAGCACAGTGACGCAGGGTGGGTCTGGCCTATGCCTTGCAATAACTACGCAATTCTCCTCTTCGCCAGCTTACTGGCTTCAGGCCCCTTTCCATGCAGAACAGGGAAAATACATGCTTGCCCATGCAAGAGGAAAAAAATGAAACTGAAAAAGGAGCCGGGGTGTGATTCCTGGTTTCCATGAGTGGAACAAGGGCTGTGAACAGATTCTGTATCGAGTGAGCTCTGCAGATGCGGAGGAGACAGATGCTGCTTATAGCTCTGAAATCAGTCTCTGCTGCCCACTGCTGAAGTAAAACATCCCTTCCCCGCTCCCCCCTTTTTTTTTTTCCTAATGCCTCTTATAGGGAGCAAGGCATCTGAGCTTGGCAGCAGTCTGATCCGTCTGCCCTAAGCCTTTCAGTGGCTCAAAGTGGCTTGGGAGCGACAGGCACTTCTGCTTGTATATTTGCTGAATGAAAGAACTGGATGCAGTTTCTTTTGGTTGAGAATCTCCCTTCATGCCAAAACCCAGTCGATCATTTTAACTGACTTCGTATATTTTAATTTTACAGAGCTTAGAAGGGGGAACTCTCATAATCTCAAACTGCAGCTGTGGCTGCTCCCATCATCAGCAATTTGAGCTTTTCCTTTTTAAATCTAATTTTAGCATTTGCTTTTTAACAACAGCAATTTTGGACACAATCCTGGATTGGTTTTGGTGACTAACTTGTGATTCTTTTTTTCTTTCCCTTTGCGGTACCTGGTGCCAGGCTCTGGGTTCTCTCCCATTCTCTCCTGAGAGACTCTGAGGGAAAATTAGCGCATCAAGACTGTAACTAGTGAAATTTGTACAACCAAAGAAATCTATTTTGTGGTTCAAGGATAATAAAGTTTACTTTACATTTTAGAACCTTTAGTTAATGTGGTTTGCCCTGAGTGAAGTCTGCACGTTCTGTATCAGCGCTTTGGTTCTTATTATTGGTCACCCTCCCATCTAGCGAACATACTGGTGGTTTTCCTGCTTTTGCCTGCAGAAATTACTGATCACCAAAAGCAATGCCGACTGCAGGAATATCAAGATGAGCACGTGCTACTCATGTAAATTTGGTAGAAAACCGGCATCTGTGCTGAAAGGGGAGGAAGAGAACCTAAACCAGTAACTATTAGCTCCATCTTTATGTAGTTTGAAGCGGACTCCTTGTTTTGGAAGTGGTGGATTCACTCTTGGGGGGAAGGGAGAGGAGCAGAGGTTTCTGCTCCAGAGAAGCTGCAGTAGTGGGGAAAGGAAATGGGGACAAACAGGTGAGATGATACTTGTAGGGTACGATGGTTTAGTTATCACATTCATCACTGACACCTATTTAAAAAACATCATCCTGCCTAACAGCATACAAGAGAGGGAGGTAAATTCAGGAATGAGAAAAAAAGCTATAATGTGCTGTTCAGTGTTACAACCTTTAAGACAAGTACCGATGCTAACTGCAGAGAGACTAATTCCATCTATACGTGGGGCCGCTTACAGCGATGTACGGCGTGCTGTGCTGCCTGCATGCTTCGTGCGGGGCCACTGTCGGTAAAGGCTGCCCGACGTGACGCTGCTGTCTGTGGCAGCGAGGACCGGTCCCTGCTGCCGATCTCTGCGGTGCCTCCTGCTCCAGCCCCTTGCCTCCTGGCTGCGGTGAGGTTGTGGAGCGCCAGCCCTGAGGCTTTGGTTCCATCTGACCAACTGCCACGGGTGTGTGGCGGGTGCCTGTGTGTGCGTGGACGAGGGAAGACGTGGACAGGTGAGTCAGTACACGGCTGGTAACAGTAGTAGGCTGGAAGCAATGCGCAGCCTGAGCCCTGCTCATCAGCTGATGTAATAGGAAACACAGTGATATCAGCAAGATCTTAAGCCTCTTGGCTATCTTTACTTGGCTCTGCTTTAAAAAGAAAAAAAAAAGCTATTTTCTTTACATGATTACAGTTTTTAAAAATACAGTTTAACTGGTAAAAAACTAACACATTTCATGTAGCCCAAACAAGTTTTCCTTTGTCTGGATCAACGGATGGCCACCAAGATGTGCCAGCACAGAGAAAGAAAAGCAACCTCGATGGGAAGGAGGCAGAATTCCTTTTTCTAGAGACGGTGTCATTCTAGACCTCAGCCTCCTTCTCCAGCCTTTGCAACTGTTGACTTGCAGGTACAGATGGAAAAGGGACCTTGGTAGTGTCACAGGGTACCACAGGAACACTCTTGTCTTGGATCAGCTTGGAGCGTTCAAGGATCTAAAGTGTAGACTTATACAGACTCAACAGGAAAACGGGAAGGAGGGGCAGGCGGGATGAAAAGGGCTCCTCTTGTGTGACGAGGCCATCGGTATTGTTCTTGCCTCTGTGGCTGCTGCTGGCGAGCGTGTGGTGCCCGGCGCGGTGCTGCTGTCTGTGTTTCTGCCGGGGTTTGGCTGTGTCTCTGCGCACACCGAGGATGCGCCGCCAAGCTGGGCCGACCAGAACGGGCCCTCCAGCTTCCCTCTAACAAACGGTCCTGCAGGTAGTACAGCTTTTGTAACACATTAGAAACACACTGCTAGAAAGCTACTGAGACCAATAATTAATCCAAGTTTAAAAGCAAGATTCTACTCTAAAAAGTCCCCAGTTACTCCAGTGATCTGCAGCATTCCTCTGTTCCTCACGTAATTTTCCCGTAACTACCTGTGAAATGCGCGCACACACACACAAACACACACTATTTGCAGCTTTTGTCAGCTTCTCACGTTGTTACCTGTTGCGTCCAGCAATTTCTCACATCACGTCCAGGACTGTCTCATGTCCTCTTGAAGTTAGCTTAGTCTCTGGCCAGTGGCCGAGTCAGCTGTTGGCACATCAAACGCTTCCCAGCAGAGACAGCTTTAATATAATCGTGTTTTCTTTTAGTTTATTGCACCCCTATACGATAGATGGGTGTTTTATTAATTACTGCATTTTCTTCTAAGACACAGATATTTGTCTATGTAATTTATCTCAATTTTCAATGAAATTTTTGCTTCCAGGTCTATGTTAAAGTGGGGTTTTTTTAGTTAGTTGGTTGTTTTTAAAGTAGAATGTGTGCTATGGTACTGTGACAACACATATTGTGTACTTCAGTTACAGTGCAAAAGGGACTGGGGCTAAAACGTGGACTTGGTGGTAAACACAGAGTGTTTGAATCACATATATGTCTTCCAGGAGACTGGTCTTACTTGGCAGTATTTCAGCATAGAATATGTCCCTGAAAATAGCACTAGCCTCACAACATACTGATCAATCCCAGCAGATAATACTAATAAAAACCTATGAAAGTTATCATGGGACAAATTCAGAAATACCGCGAAGACTGGTGAACTGTGCAATGGCGACAGCCCTTAGTCTTGTTTAATGTGAAAGAATGTAATGTAAGGTCAGTATACCATAACAACAAATCATATTAAAAAACCTAAGTGTAAAACCCAAATGATCTATCCCTAGAGATAACTGGCCACATATGGAACCCTTTGACTGAAAAATGCTCTGAGAGAAAGAGCACAAAAACCCTGAATTCCATGTATTAAGTTGCAGTATTGCCTGCGGGGGGG